ACCTAGAAAACTGCAGCTGACCCTCCAGCTGCTGCTGTGAGCAAAGGATCTCTTGTAGCCCCGGCAAAACGGAGCACAGCCCTAAGCTCAGAGCTGGCCACCAGCCCAGCGTCTGCCTGCTGTGCCCGCAGCCCTGCCGAGAGGGCAGCTGCCGGTCCCGCTCACGCACGAGCAGCGGGAACGGCTCGACAAAGCTGTAGGAAGTGGGAATGCAAGCTGGAAACCACATCCCAACAAACGAGCTCGATCGACTCCTGCTGTTGGCTGGGGCTCAGGATGGGGCACGGAGGGAAGAATCCTGACTTCTGCAGGCCCCCGGAGGCATCGAGGCCAACGGGGCAGGGTCGGGGCTGGGTCTGTCTGCCCAGGCAGGAGGGGAAGGATCCATCCCATGAGGGGCACGGACTGGGCACATGGTGCCACTGGCGTTACCCAGCCCAGGACAGCTCTGCAGGAGACTTATGGATAACTGCATGGGACAGAGGGGGAACCTCTCCCTGTAGGACAATGGTTTTCACTGCTTGAAAACCAGAAGGGAGGCAGCTCGGTGTCAGCACACCATCCTACCCCACGTATGGAAAGAAAAATCTGTATAAGGACCAAAAAAATGACAATTTTGGCAGTCTAAAAATACTCAGGGAGGGCATAAATGAAAGCCAAGACCCAGACCTACCTCCCACGTCCAAGTCCACTTTATAGTTGATGGAGTGGGTTCGTATCGTACCCAGCGTGTGCTCCCAAACGCGATTGCCGTATCTCAGACCATCCCCATGAAGAAAGGATGAGCTTGCATACCCTGTGGCCTGGACCTTGCCTTCAATGGCCCCGCTCTGGTAGAAGATGAAGTCCCACACGTAGTCGTGGTTTCCCATGGTCGCGATGGACCGAACAACCAGAGCAGAGTTGACCAGTCCCCCATAGTAAAATGACTGTAGGTTGGAGTAGTGGCGCCTCAGAGGGGAGCCCAGGTTCTGCTCAAAAATGCAGAGGGAAGCCTTTCTCTTGCTGGGGCTCAGGGTCTCAGACAGGGAGTATGTGTCGACGTAGGTGGCCGAGTACGGGCAGTCAACCCCTCGCACCAAGGGGGAGGTGTGGCGCCCGATGCCAAAGCTCCCATCCATGTACCGCGTTGACATCCCGCCAGGGCAGTTGGAGCCGTACACTGACAACGCCTCTTGGACGCTGATTTCATAGGCAACCCTCTCCCCCTTGTGTCGGATGTCAAACAGGCGCAGGCCCGTGTTCACGCTCATCCCAAAGGCAAAGCTCCAGGCCTGGAAGAGGACGTGGTTGTTCCTGACGCTGTAGCGGGGACCCTGAGGCTCGTACTGCAAGGGGAACAGCGTGGCTGCAGGCGCTCGGGGCTTCATGGACGAGAAGTCCCCATCCTGCGGCGCTTTCCTCACCTTCTCCACGCTGATGCGACCCTGCACGTAGGCGCTCTCCAGCTGAGCCATGTCCCTGTAGTACTGCCCGTTGTAGAAGACCCTGCTCACCGCCCACCGGGAGACGTCCAGGCTGCTGTGGTCCACCAGCACCTCCAGCCCCACCGGGTGCAAGAAGAACCCGCTCACATTCTGAAACACGATGAACCAGGACTTACGGTCTCCAGACTGAAACCCATGAGGAGCTGTGGTCTGAAACGCCACGTTGGTGCCGTCGTACTCAAACACTTCTTTCAGGAAGGTCGGGGCTGCAGCAAATGCCACCGTCTCCAAGAATGCTCCCACCTGCGCATACTCACTGCCCAGCATCGGTCTGCGGTGGTATGGCACCTTCCCCCCGTATTTCTGCACCGTGACGTCCCGGTGATACACTGGCATCGGCAGGGGGCCCCCCCCGGACCCCGTGGAGGGTCGCGAGGCGTCAACCAGCTGCACCCCAAGGTTTCCCTGCAGGTACCGCACCACTTGCACCATCTCTTCGGGTGTCAGATCGGCAAAGACCAGGCTCTGGCTCGTGGATCCTGCCTTCTCCACAATGCGGGGCTGGGATTCACAGCTGGGTGATCGCCTCCCCCTGCTCAGCAGCATGCAGGAGAGAATGAAGATTGTCACCGCAGCCCCAACCAGGAGAACATAGGGCAGTTTGGGGTTCATCTCTCCGAGTGCAGAGACAGTGCGCAGGGTTTGGCTGCAGCGTCCAGAAGACGTCCCTTGCCTGCAGACCAGGCTTTTATCTCATTTGCCGACTGTAGGCGTGTAAAGGTGTCGCTCGTGAGGTGGGGAGGGAGCCTGGAGCTCGCATGGGACTCCAAGAGGAGATCACAGGCCCCAGCCAGTCCAGCCTGTTTCCTCCCTGCCCCAGACGCTCCAAGGAAGCCACCTGGGGAGCCGGTGCCTGACTCACTCCCCAAACTACTGATGGGTTTCTCCGCTGCAGGGTGACACCGTGAAGGGCCCTGGCCTCCTTCTGCCCAAGGGGCCTTTGCTTCTCCCAGCGTCTCCCAGGACACCCCATCCTGTCTCATGTGAGAGCGCAGCAATGCCGCGGGGGCAGGCTCAGCCGGCCCCGCTCCTTCCACACCCCGGTGCCCCGCTCCCCTGAAGGGCCGGTCTAGGCTGGTGCTCCAGGAAAGCCCAAGACCCGCCGGCTCCCCAGCACCTCCATGTTCCTGTTCTCCCTGTCGCCATTCTTTGTCGCCTCCAAATCCCTCCCAACCCTGAGGGAAGGGACCTGGCAGCCCCAGCCTGGCCGAGATGAGAGGAAGCTCCCTGGCAAGAACAGGCAGCGCTCGCCAAAGCCCTGGCAGCAACCGCAAGCGAGAGGCAGCACCTGGAACGGCTGCACCAGGAAAAGCAGAGGCTGCAGGATGACCAACCAGACACGTCTGTCCCCGTTCAGCCATCCCAACCCCACTCCAGCATAGAGGATCCTTGGGGAAGAGCTGTCACGGACAGATATGGTTACTGTCAGGAGGCTGTTGAGTGCTCCTGACCGCACGACGGACCGTCCCTGGCCAGGAGAGCAGCATCAGGGGGCCAGGGCACCGGGGTCACCCCACCACAGAGCAAGGTGGCTGCTCCTGCAGGGCCACCAGCTTCAGCAAGGCTGGCCCCACTGCGTCCAGCCCCATGCAAAGCGGCAGCGACACGTCACCGACAGCCGAGGACAGCGTTCCGGAGATCGTGGCCACTTCATGCCCTTCTGGTGGAGACAGTTTGAGGCACAGGCAGGAGGGGCTGGGCAGGGGCTGAAACCACTACAGCACTGGATCAATTTACTACTCTTGGCGACCGTGTTAATTTAGGAACTTCTGTTTCCATTCTCACTTCCAGCCAGGAAATAATCAGCCTTTTTCCCTGCATGTCCCACACCAGCCTCAGATCAGGATCCAGGAAACCCATGTGGGAGATGACCCATTCTTGCTGTGCTGCAGTTTTGCCTTCCCTGTGCTCGGAAGGGGAGGGATCCTGCAGGGCACCTCTCGAGCTCCCCTCCCTCGCCAAGGGGAACAAGTCTGGGATTTTACAGAACTCTTCTCAAGAGCATTTTGCAGCAGCCAGGGCTTTAGGGGCTGTAAGCAGAGCAGCGAAATGAGGGGCACAGCAATCACGGAAAAGGAGCTTGCCACCACGCAGGAACTGTATTTTAGCACATTTGTAAGCCTTGCTTATGGGAAGGGAACCAGTATTAGCCCTGTTTTCAACTGAGATGGCAGCAGCAGCACCTTTCAAGGCCACACAAACTACTGTATCGCAGACAGGTACAAGAGAGGACACGTGCCGGGACTGAATGCTTGCACTGGAGTCAGCTACAGCTTGACGTACGTAGTTCTCCAATTACCCCCTGCAATCCAGGAGACGGCATGGGTTACCGGAGCTGCATTCCTCCTCGGACTGGTACAGATGCAATCTACTGCCTACCAGTGATCTCTTTGGCCCTGTGCAGATGTAGAACATTTTTTTCCCCCTACCTTTTACAGGAACAGGTTTCAATAGCAGACACCTAATGCTGCCAGTCCAGCACTACCACTGCCCTTGCACCTTCCCAGGCTGCAGTTACTGGAATGGCCTTTAAGGGGAAGCAAAGCTGTCCTTTCAGGCTGAGCATCCTTGCGTCTCCGAGGGTGGATGCCAGCACTTCACTGTTCAGCTTGCCAGCCAGACAGTGCAGAAAGAGCTGCTCCTGGACTCAAATAACCCTCCTCGGGGATCCGCTGCCAAAAAACGTGACACTGTGCAGGAATTCACTGGCTCACTGCAGTGGCTTTGCAGCCCGACACTCAGGATCCAACTTACAAGCGTTTCCTCAAAAGAGAAGCGGAGATAGAGCTGCACAAGCTCAACCCTGCAGAGCACTAGTCCAGCTGCCCTGCTTTACGCTGGGCAGCCCAGATACAAAAAGGACTTTCCCAAGTTCCCAGGAGTGCCAGGAGCAGCATCAGGCGTAGCAAGAGCAGGCTCACGCCGTCAGCCCTGCAGACAGGGCTGTGTCTCCCTGTCTGCCTGGCCATGCCTATGGCAACACTCGCCGTGCCAGACATGAGGCCTCAAGGAAACACAAACATTTCTCAGCTGCTACCTTTCATACTTTCCCTGGGCTGAACACAGAGCTCCCAGACAATTCACACTGCCTTCAACTCCGTGACCTTGACACAACACTTTTATACATAGAAAAATAATTTTGCAGTGGAAGAAGAGGTTAGGAGAGTGAAAAAGCAGAGCTCTGATGTCAATTATTAGGGATTCTACAGCGTAGGAGACAATTACCCCAAAGCTCTGGGGTTTACCAGTATAATGGCAGACATTAAAGGAAGATGCAGACCTACCTCCCACGTCCAAGTCCACCTTATAGTTGATGGAATGGGTGTGTACCGTACCCAGCGTGTGCTCCCAAATGCGATTGCCGTATCTCAGACCATCCCCATGAAGAAAGGATGAGCTTGCATACCCCGTGGCCTGGACCTTGCCTTCAATGGCCCCGCTCTGGTAGAAGATGAAGTCCCACACGTAGTCATAGTTGCCCACGGTCACAATGGACCGAACAACCAGAGCAGAGTTGACCAGTCCCCCATAGTAAAGCGACTGCAGGTTGGAGTAGTGGCGCCTCAGAGGGGAGCCCAGGTTCTGCTCAAAAATGCAGAGGGCATTTTTACTAGTTCTAGAGACCTGGGAATGAGCAAGGTAGTGAACATCCAAGTACGTCGCTAAATAGGGGCAGTCAACCCCTCGCACCAAGGGGGAGGTGAGGCGCCCGATGCCAAAGCTCCCATCCATGTACCGCGTTGACATCCCGCCAGGGCAGTTGGAGCCGTACACTGACAACGCCTCTTGGACGCTGATTTCATAGGCAACCCTCTCCCCCTTGTGTCGGATGTCAAACAGGCGCAGGCCCGTGTTCACGCTCATCCCAAAGGCAAAGCTCCAGGCCTGGAAGAGGACGTGGTTGTTCCTGACGCTGTAGCGGGGACCCTGAGGCTCGTACTGCAAGGGGAACAGCGTGGCTGCAGGCGCTCGGGGCTTCATGGACGAGAAGTCCCCATCCTGCGGCGCTTTCCTCACCTTCTCCACGCTGATGCGACCCTGCACGTAGGCGCTCTCCAGCTGATCCATGTCCCTGTAGTACTGCCCGTTGTAGAAGACCCTGCTCACCGCCCACCGGGAGACGTCCAGGCTGCTGTGGTCCACCAGCACCTCCAGCCCCACCGGGTGCAAGAAGAACCCGCTCACATTCTGAAACATTACGAACCAGGTGATCCGATCTCCAGAGTGGAATCCACGGGGAGCGGCTGTCATGGCCGCTAGGCTGGCTCCATCGTACTCCATTACTTGACGCATGAATGATGGAGCTGCAGGGAACACTTGGTTTTTTAAAAACCCTGCGATCTGTTTGTATTCAACAGTCAGGGTTGGTCTGCGGTGGTACGGCACCTTCCCCCCGTATTTCTGCACCGTGACGTCCCGGTGATACACTGGCATCGGCAGCGGACCCACCACATACTCAGTGACGTTGGGGTCTGCCTGGTTCCCAAAGTAGACCACAGCCAGCGCCTCCCGCGCGGGGCGAGCCCCCCCACCATCCAGGAACCGCAGCACCTCTGCCTTAGCAGGGACCTGCACGTCGACGGAGGCGATGCAGTTGTCGGAGGGCTTTGCACGCGAGGCGTCAACCAGCTGCACCCCAAGGTTTCCCTGCAGGTACCGCACCACTTGCACCATCTCTTCGGGTGTCAGATCGGCAAAGACCAGGCTCTGGCCGTCATCGGTGTCCTCCTGCTGAGGGGGCTGGTGCTGGCAGGTGCTGGGGGCCCGTCCTCTGGTCAGCAACACACAGACTAAAGCAAAGATCGTGGCTAAAGCCAGCACGAGCAGGATGAGCACGGTTTTCATGTGCATGCTGCTGCTGGTCCCAAGGCATTCACAGCAGCTTTCAGAGCAGGGTTTCTAGCTGCTGCCTCTGACAGTTTACGCTGCACTGGATGGATTAGCAAGGAAAGTACAAAAGACTGGGAGAGGCTAGGGGAGGAGATCTGAAATTCGTGGTGACCAGAAAGGGCAGATCTCCTCTCAGCTACAGCTTTCTCTGCCCTCTTCCACAAGTAGTCGTGCCCTGAAAGAGCTAGTGGAGATGCAGGGTCAGTGACTCAGACAAGTTGCACATAATTCTGTTACTTTTTCAGTCCAGCCTGGCTTCCTGAGGCTGCCTGTAAAAACGAAGATCCTGTAGTCAGCCTGAGGTGGCTGGGACCACTGTGAGGCTCTGACAAGCCAGGAATTGTTGCCATGCCGTAGAATTTCACCTTTTTGCAACTCACCGAATTTCCTTGTTTATCAGGCTGCTTCCTTGTAAACATTCTCCCTGGCAGCATGATTCCAAGCTTGGAGTTACTTATTATTTTATTTTTTTAAAATCTTCCACGTGGAAGCCTTTGCTGAAAACACATCCATCTGCATAGCAGTAGAAAAACTTCGGCAGGCATGGAGAGATGTAGTTCAAGAGGAGATTCAGACCCCAATGCACTGTGAACAACCAGCTCCTAGTTTGCACCTTTAAGCAGCTACGAACTAATTAATCCCCCAAGCATCCCACCGAAACAAGATCACGCAGCTTTTGTCTCTGTCTTCGATTCAAAGATAAACCAAGGTGCAGCTTCCGAGAAGTTCCCTCAAGGACAAAACCACCCCCAACCTGCGGCATCCAAGGAAACAGCTGATTGCTGTGCTGCCAGGCTACCACTGCCCAGGCTGAGCGGCCACCTCCAGGTTTTCCACTAAAGGTTGTGACAACTGCCCGCTGCCATCCACAGAATCACAGAATCGCAAGGGTTGGAAGGGACCCTGGGAGATGACCCAGTCCAACCCTCCTGCTCAAGCAGGCTCACCCAGAGCAGGGTACACAGGACATCATCCAGGTGGGCTTTGAATATCTCCAAAGAAGGAGACTCCACAGCCCCCCTGGGCAGCCTGTGCCAGGGCTTAGTCACCCTCAAAGTAAAGAGGTTCTTCCTCATACTCAACTGAAACCTCTTCTGCTTCAGTTTGTGCCAATTGTCCCTTGTCCTGGTGCTGAGCACCACTGAGAAGCTGCCTCTGCTGGTCTTGCAGCACTGTTGAAAGGCCCCAGCAGAGTTGGTGCTCCATCCTACCACGCAGCAGATGTTTGGAGTAGACAAGACACCGCTTTAGCTACAATCCCTGCCTGTCCCTGAGCTGGTGCTCAGAAGCACAAGGCATCCAAGAGATCCAGAGCTGGAGTTTCAACCCAACATTTCCACTCCTGCTGCCAGCCTCACCTCACCTCACCCTGGCCTTCTCTTCCTCCTCCCGTCAGAGTTTCCTGGTGGGAGACAGCCCCCCCCAGCCTCAGCACTGCCTCCAGTTCTTCCTCTGTGGCAGATCTTGCTCTGGACTCAGCCCCTCCGCCATCCTCCAGCCGCGCTTACCAGACACCACACTGGTAGGCAGAAGGCCACGTTGCCATAGGACACACTCCATTATCCTCACCACCACCGGCAGCCTCAGCCTTCTTTAGCTCAGGCTGCAGCTGTGCCCGTAAGGGACACGCACGTCCACTCCATGCCAGCACACGTCATCTCTGCCCCACTGGTTGTCACGCCTGCAGAGCCACAGCAGTCAATTCACGTGGCCGCTGTGCCAGAAGAAGGGCTCACTCTGCAGCACAGACACAAGCAATGGGGAGAGGCAGGATACTTGAGAGGAGAGCGTTGGCTACATGGGATGCAACAGCTACAGGTTTCAGGGTACCCCGCTCTCCTTGACTTTCAACTGGCCTCCAGTGGCAGAATCTGATGCCTCTGAGTAGCCCCAAATTAAGCAAAGAAGCGCTGACTTCCAAGTCAGTCTTTCAATCCATGAAGTCAACAAGGCTTCAAGGATTACTTGGAGTTAGGCTTGAAAGAAAAATTCCCTTTTGGTCTCAGCTTAGAACATGGTATCCATTTCACTCAGAGCGTGGAGAGGAAGCGATGCTGCCCCAGTTAAGGTTTAGAGCAGAGCCAGGACATACCTCCTGCCTCCCAGGAATTCAACAAGCGTTCTGCTGCATCGCGCACGTACGCAGCTGAGCTGAGACTGCTGCACGAACCTCTGAGGCTGCATGCACAATGCTCACGTTGCAATTTCCTTAAAGAAGTACAAAAAGAGCAGTTCTCTCCGTTTTGACTTCGCCGCTTGGGTTTGCATCCCAAGTCCCTAAAAGTCAAGGCACAGGCTGCAATTACAGACGGTCATTTTCTAAGCAGCACAGCAGTAGTTTAAGAGAACTGGACAAACTCCACAGGCCTTGCTGCCCCACAAATCACAACTCAACCCCACAGCTTGCTTGGAGATGTCTGAAAATAAAGTGTGGGAACACTCTTCTGTGTTGCGTGTTTGGGAAAAGGAAAAAAAAAAAAAAAAAAAAAAGAGAAACCCTAACCTGTAATGACATCCCCATGACAAACCAACCCACAGCACACACCCCAGGTCTGCAGGATGCAGATGACACACAGGAAGCTTTCTGTGCCGCCTCTGCCCCGCTACAGGATATGTGCCATGGATACCATGTCTAATGCCCCGTTATTTAATATTGTCCATTTCTGCTGTACTTTTCAAGCTGAGGACTTTTAAAGCCTATTACAAGCAACACAAGAATCGGCCTGCACTTTCTGGGAGCTCTGTTTCAGAATAAACAGAACAGCCCTAAATCCATCTCCATCTTGCAGTAGAAATTTCAGGAAGTAGAGTAATTAACTGAGCCTGCAGAGCCAGGAAACCTGTGTCAATACCTTACTGATGGAAAGCGATCAGGGATCTTGAAAGGTCACACGTACCACTGCATTGCTCGTGCACCTTCTCCAAAAGAAGCCTGAAGCAGCTTAAAGTTAACCTAGAATTTAAAAAATTACATGTCTCACTAACAGCAGCATAACTTGTTTATGACCTGTTTGGTGCACATACCTCTTCCCACAACTCAGCTCCCCAGTCCCAGTAGCCCACCACTCTGTCCCACATCTAATATGGGGAATTCGCATCCTACCGATGCTTATTTTGGCTATATGGTTGCTTTTAGGTACTGCTCATCAGTACATCTTAAATTGCCCACACCTCCCAAACAAAGCGAGGAGGAGAGGAGTTTGCTGTTTTGCGCTCACACAGAAAGGTAGAAGCGGCAAAAAATAGCCTCTGAAATTTATAGAAACCCAAACCAGAGACAAACAGCTTTTGGCTCAGGGAAACTCAGAGTCAGTGACTGCCAGACAGCTGGGTAAAGAACACAGTGCAGAAAACCCCTTGCCAACTCTTAAGCATACACCAAGCCAGACCTCAGACTTTGGAAAACTCCCATTCCCATTCTCTCATCTCATAGGGTCAGCTTGTGTAAAACAGAGGAGAAATTGCTTGACCCTTACTCATGCTGGCTGCGTTTCTGGCAGTGTTTGCGTCTGCACACAACTGCTGTGCCTTTATTCTCCTCTCAAAGTTTTAACAGTCGCTGCATACAAGCCGGGATGTCTCAGGAACCTGTGAATTAGAGCCCTGATGGCACGCCGCCACTTCTCCCGGCGAGCAAAGCAGAAACCACTGCACTGAGACTGAGGGGTGAAGATCACGGAGAGCAAACCCTCCCCTGCTCCCGTGGATGAACCGCGCTCCCTGCCAACACCCACCAAGACAACTGTCATGGAGGCTCCATCCTTCCCCAGGACTGCTGGCACAGGCCTCCAGGAGTTTGGTTTCTTCCGGCTGTGGTGAGGAGCCCCTTGTGCTGCACCACATCGAGTCCTGCCAGCAACAGTCCTTCCTTTGAGCTCTGGCTCCAGCCGCCTCGGCCCCCAGTGACCTGCTTCCAGCTCAACTCCCACCTTCCCCAGCGCGGCTCGGGCACCAGCAGGACTTTCCCACACCGCAGGAAGCACCATGGGGCAGGCGGCCCCGCAGGAGGCAGGAAGC